ACGTTCCACCGCCTATTCAGGCGCGGTGCGTGCCCGCTCGTGTTGATACTTCGTCGTTGACGCGAAATTTATGCTCTGCCCCGGTCGCTACACATTGCGCGTTTCACCTCGGCGTTACGATCCGCGCATCGGTAATTCCGTTTCCCGTCATTGACTTCGTTTATTAACCTCTTACGCTCCGAATTATTGTATTTCCCTTCTATTTCGCAGTTCTCGGCGACCTTGTATTTACACACTCGCAGAAACTTGACTTCTTGTTACGGATAAAATCTTGTTTTATGACGCGTCTTCATTCTTTTATATATACTTTTATATCACATTCTTTAATTAGGGAAGATTAAGCGGTACTCACGAATATTTCATCACTCGTTTTTATAAATCTCATTGATGATATTATTCAGTTGATATAAACTAAACAACACCGATTTTTAAATCCATACATTATACGCCAAATGTATTTCCACAACGCACGTTCATTCTATTAACAAACTATTAACAATGAATTTTACCAGACTAACCACCAGAAAATCGTATAGAGGGGGCTGGCAAGCTCCCGCAAGGTAAAGCGTAAAGTCCAAATACGATGGACCATTAGTGAATGTTGGCCGTACCCGGTTGAATACGTCGCAGTCGAATTTTTTCGTCCATTCTATGGTACACAATATCCAACGAAGCGAGGGTTGTTCGTAAACGTTACGGTAAATAGGTGTTAATGCGAACCATCTTTGGCAGGGGCGAGGTTTTCGTCGAGTACGGTGGCACACCCAGTGCCAGACGAGATTGTAAAGGACGGGCATCAGGGCGGACAATGTATTAAGTACCAGAGGGACACCATTCACGGGGGATTACCTTAAACGCGCGAGCAGGTCCCATTGTCTAAACTGATGGTCCAATCCGACCGGGTGCGGGGTCGCTAACTGAATTCGGCCGAGGCCGACGCCAGGAGCCTATCTTGACCGATTAGATACACCGGGTAGATCCTCTGTTTCGTCTTCTCCGAGATCCTCGAAGACGTTGATCGCCCCCGTGGTCCAGGTAATCGTCGCAATTCAATTTAACGGCGACTTGTAAATTGATACAGACTCACCTGGAATTTTATCGCGCGTCATAATTACGCTGTCGTCTTCGTTAACGACGGGCATAAAGCCGGTCCCGGCGATAGAACGATGTCTTCGTTTTAAGAGTGTCCACGTCGGAGGAGGCGTCCGAGCAGTAGCCGGTGAGGTAATATGTTTAATGCCGGGACTCCTGGCTGGCAATAAATTAACCGCAGCTACCGATAGCATACGCGTGGCTAACGATGATATAAATTAGCAATGTAATTCATTGCCGGCGATCGACGGCCTCGGGATTTCTTAAAATAGCGTCAAGGACGAGCATTGTTTACCGTCGACTGTCGGTGGAAATGTCCGGGAAAAGAGGTTTTCATACATCGACCCGCCCTTGATATGCGCTTCAATATCAGGTCGCGTCAGTCGCGTTATACGTCTTGTTTCGGCAACTTCGTGACACGAATCACAAACGAACCGCTGGTGAACTATACGATCATCGTTGAATTACGTATACAATTCCCGGGAAAATTGTCTTGTACTCATCTCGAGCGTAACATTACATCGTGTCGACGTTTTCACACATCTTCTGTTGATGACAGGTAAGAGATAGATAGATTATTAAACTGTAGTTATCTAATAAACACTGAATACCGAAGACTCATTGAACTTGAAACATTTAATACTCGGTTTATCGGTGTCTTCGATGCATTACCGGCGCAAAGTCAATAACAGCGGGTCCGTCGCGCGGCTTTAACCCGCGGGAGAAGCGGAGGACGGTTAAATAATTACGCACACTCGATTGGAGTTGGTCATTGAGGATTCTTCGTGCAAACACGGTCCCCAGTACCCGTGCGCCTCGAAGCCTCTATCCGCCCGAGAATCTAATCAAACATTTATGCTAAATCACGAAACAATCCGCACGGAATCAGCAAATAAAAGGGCCGGTAGCCCCATTTCGCCGCCCTTAAAGCCCTCGCCTGGTCATTTGACTCTTCTATTTACTCATGCTCGACGGACAAAAAGTTGATGGACATTCCGCGCCGGACAAAAGGCTCTGGATTGGCCGAGGAGGCGGGGGTGGCGGCCGTGGAGTAACGGGAGTACCGGGCGGTAGTATGTAAATTCTTAGGGTTAGTCTCGGCTAGACGGGAGAATCGGGCTTTGGGGCGAATTTGCATGGGCCGGGCATTTGCGGCGACAACTACCTCCGCCGAAGGTCCTCCTGATTGCCCTCGTTTATTAAGATTAACTTTTCTCCGGTGTAATCTCGGACACCGAGACCGGCCCCTTAATGCCTGGCCATTGTTTCCGGGAGATTCCGATTACTTGGAAATTCGTCGCGATTCACCGGCGGCTCGGGATTACGTCTTATCGCGATTGATCGACGCGACGCGAGCGTGTTGCGCGTTTATTAATGACGAATAATTATTCCGTGACGATGATCGACTTTTTATTGGCGAGCACCGGGATAGTTATCAGAGTATATGGCCGTACGAAACGCGATGCGGAACGAGCGCAAAAAGTGATACGGCTCCGCTCCGCACCCGATCCCAACACACGACTAGTATTAAGCGTTGTAAAAGCAGCCGTTTGTAATGGCTAGTTTTATGCGTACTTGCACCGCGTCTGGGTCGAGACTGCTTGCATCATTAACGGGTAATAAGAAAATTGTGCGCAGGTAACCGTACACCGGACCTCACTGAACGTAACAATTAAGTCCGACGTTAGTAGTCGTCTTTTCAATAAGCGCGCATTCGCGCACTCGTCCACAGTCCTGCAATGTTCCTCTGACTAGTTCTCTAGAGTTGCAAAGTTTCCTGGAACTATGGAAACTCGCGCCTGCCCGCCGTTATTGCCTTTCTTTCTCGTCGATATGGAGTCGAAAGTGCCATTCGGTTTCACGGTTGCTTTCTCCTCTGTTTTCGAGCATCATCGATTCGCATCATCATTTCGTATCTATGTTGATATTAAATTCAATAAGATAATATTAATTGATAGTTCCGATCCTTGCGAATCGACCTCTTAATCTGAAAAATAATAGAATAGGGAAGATCAATTCCGAAAAGGGAGAAGTAAATACTTAATTATAATTTCTACGTTATTAATTTCCATTGGAACTATTAGATTACAGGGCGCGAACTTCATTTTTTTCTTATTTGCCTCAATTGAATATTAATTCCAACGTTCACCGAAACCCATTAAAATATACTCGTCGATTTTCCGGATGCAACGGTCTCCTTCATAATTTTCTCACGAAAGCGTTCCGCCTCTGTACATCTCAATAACCGTCTGTGCTCGGGTTTAATTACACCTATGAAACCCGTGCACGGCGTCCGTGCATCATGAAACGATCGTTGATCGCGGAGGAGATGGCTGACCCTGCTAAACAGGGAAGTCACCCTGTTGTATAATACAACGGTTGATTACGCCGGGCGTATTTGCGCCCCCCACTCGGCAGACATCGAGTTCGCGTCATTTATCAAACCTGATGCCACCCGCTCTTCTTCTCTCCTTTCTGCCGGCGCGACGTGGGCGTCGTTTTCGCATTGCAATTTGTATCGCGCGTCTCGCTCTTTCTCTTTCTCGCGCGAGATTGATCCGCCGTACCGATACGCGAACGGTGACGTCGGGGAGCCAGCGCGAATCTTCCGCGAGACATCATCATTCCATTTCCGTACGGCTCGTCGTCTATCCGTCGTGCTCGGAATTCAACCGCGTCCGCCGCCACGATCGATCTCCAGCGCGATACGAGTGTCGGGGGAAATGGAAATTACGAACGTGGCTACGTTTCGTTGCTTCCACTTTCTTATTTATGCCTGACTCCTACGACCACTCGCGGACGACACTTTTATGTCCGCCTCCCTGACGATCGGTTGACGGTGACGCATGACTCGAACCGTTCCCATGATCTACAACCTCCTTCCTTATGCTCGATTCGAATCCGTTGCTCTTGATTAATGACGATTTTATTCATGAAACGGGGATTTTCATAAGTGATTTTTTTTTCAACAAGTGGAAGAGCTGTTTGCTTTCAATTGTAAGAAGTCTTGCGCGGGATGTTCCTGAATATTCATATGTAACGCAATGAATACATTGTCGAACGAAGGATAATCGTGTTCCGTCGCTGTCGAACGTGATGTTCTCATGGAACATTAACTAATAACGGTGGTAATTTCTTTGTTAAGGAACCCGCATATTTCTGTCCCTTTAACGCGTCTTCGAATGAAAAATGGTCCATAAACTTCATCCTTAACGACGGTACGTCGCGAGTTCGACCCCGAATTCTTGTACGAGCAGCAATTTTGATCTTACACGGTCATCCAGAAATAGATCTTTAAGTGCTTCGAATTTCGGGAAGTAATGACTTCGGTGAAAACTCTTTTCAGCTTATCCTTCCGAAATATCGAAATGTTACGTATTTCGAATTAAAGTCGATAATCCGTCCCCTTCGAACAAAACGAAAGATCGATCGGAATTTTGAAAGCATTCATTTCTCGATGCGTATTTATTAGAACCTTTATTCTTCGTTTGTCGAGCACTATCCACCTTTAAATTCGTTAGCTCTTTTTAACACTCTGTGTTTCGGTGACGACGATAGAACAAAGCCCGACGGTGTCGTGGCACGGCGGAACAAGAGCAACATTTGCAATATGGTAGTGTGGTGGAGTGTCATGGGTGATCGGGGGATGTAGCAGTGCGCTTACCACTTGATCAGGCATTCTTCGAGGAGGATCGTCCTTCCCCCAGAACGCGGGGCGGCAGCGGTGGTCGGAGTTTTCGAAGCAGTGAGTCCTGTAAGCGCATGAAACGTCGGAGCGATGCATCCAAATGCGTTTTAGCGCGGATCAAATGCATTACGCGTATTGCGGACGGAGACCGCAGGCATACACGGAGCTTACACGCTGCATGCGGAAAGGATTACGCACCGGACGGGAAATTATTGACGCGGCTGCACACGGAAAACCTAAACGATCCACGACATCGGCTGTACGGTCACCGATGAAACGATTTAAACTGTCATTACCTGTCGATCAAAGAAAGGGATCCGATCGATGATCGCACTCGTACGTCAGATTTGTCTGGAACAATGGGGGCTGCGCTGCATACAGACGCCGGATCAAGACTTAATAACGACTCGACGCCGGATTTTGGCTCTACAACGAAATTTAGGAATACCATCATCGGTGCCTTTGTACACGGAAAACAATGGCCCGCGTTTTTTGTGATCCGTGCCGCTCAATTTTTAGCCGAACGCTCGCGTGCGCACAATGAACGCTGCGCGATGAAAGCTTCTATGCGTCGCTTTTGTTACATTCCAATTGTCTCGGGTGTATTTTCCCTTTTTTCACGTTTCTTCCCTCTTTTTTTCTCTGATCTAACTCTATTTTTTGTGGAGAATTCCTTTAGATCGAAACTTTGTTTTCTCTTCTTTCGTCTTGGTTGGACGAAGCAAGGATCCGAGAGTCGCCTCTCTACGCGTTCTCGTTGCCATTCGCGCGCATGATTCCGTGTCGTTGAGCTACTAAACTAAAGACTTTGTTTATGAGCGTAGTCGAAGGCTGGGAAGGAGGTGAACGGGGCTGAGAAACAAGAAAGAAGGAGCAAAGTCGTAAAAATTGGTGAGCTCTCAACAGGGAGGAACCTCAAATGTCCTCGGGGAGGTGCTAAAATCTGGGGCATAAACACTGACCGCGACATAAAATGAGACTTCGAAGTATTGAATCGTCCTTTCGGGGGCGTTCTTTTTTTTCTTCTTCTTCCGCTCATTCGCCTGGCAAGCATAAATCACTGCCGCCTTCGTATTTATATTCATAGGCGCGTTGAGGAAGATTGAAGAGCTGCGGGCCCGCTGGGAATTGCTCGTAAAATCCGTTAGATTGTAAAATATTGTTGCGACGATACGAAAGGCCGACCATCTTCCGTCAGATATGAGAGGTTACACGAGAATCTTTGAACGGTCGGACGTACGAGGAACAAATGATTCTATGCGTCGACATGTTCATTATCCGTGAACATTGCAAACGATCTTATGCCTCGATACCATAGAAACTTCATTCTCTTTATTCCTAATGAAAGAATCCGCGAATTCTTAACTACTTATTTTTCCGTTGTATTGATTCTTCACGAACAAAAATAGATTAAATTGGAAGGTCGTAGAATAGATAAATGTTGAAATATTTTCAAAGAGAAGAACAGACTCGAGCTGTGAATGTTTAGACGTTTAAAAGGTTTCTCGGGCTGGAACTACAACGTCCTGAGTGTTCAACAGGGTTTCCCTGGCAGTGAAACGTGTTCCGTATGGTTTTCGGTGGTCTTGGAAGGTCTTCGTTTCCTGAAAAGGACACGCGGATCGTTCCTGAAGGGTTGGGAGGTTCGGGGAATCTCAAGGCGGAATGTTCCCTAATAAGTTCTATGCTTCTGGTATCAGTCCATCAAATTCCAAGCCAGCAAACATGCTCTGCTATATGCTGATACTCTGTTCCTCGAGTCCTATGTAAATAGATTGTATCTCGTGAATCATAAGATATTAGTATTGGATTATTCCATACAAACAAGATAGTTCAATATACTAACAGGAATGTCCAAGCAAGGAATTTTA